GTGGTGGAAGGAACCATTCACCACCATTCAAATGCACAGCACTTCTTTCTTGGACACAAAATAATGCATGAAATGCATGCGAGCACAGGGAATATATGCTATGCAGAACTTTCTGAACGAGATGAAACTTAGTGTTAACATAACTGCTGTAGTTCTTAAATCAACTGAAATTTCCAATGTTGTCTTTCATGCTTGACTTTTTGATCCACGCTTTGCTTTGCACTTGATACATTACACAGCACGGAAGTACGAAAGATTTTAAAAAAGCTGTATATAGCTACAAAGAAAAGCAAATGAAAAAATAACTAGAAGTTGAAAATAAATAATTCAAAAAGATTACGCTGATGTATTACATCTGAGAAATGTCACAGCACAACACAAAATGTAGTCACTATGCGTTATGTAATTGAAGTACGCATACCAGTGGTTTTACAATCCCATGAGAGACAATCTAATTACATCTTGTATACCACATGCCATGGGTTAATACTTGCTTCAGGTTTTGTGATTTCAGCTGTTTTGCCCAACAGCTGGTTTCACTTTATGAACCCTGGAATCTCCACGAACTGTGGGGTAAATTGAAATGGATCTTCATATGAATCCTTTCCAAAAACCATAAGCACTCCCTGACAGTTCAATTTTAAAAGAGTATGTATATTTTAAACATTGATTCTTTACTCCTAAAAGATTAATTAGAACACAATTGAAAAAGGAACTGAAGTTTTTCTTTCTAACTGGTTTTGTAAATTTATCTAGTGAGTAGCTAAGTCACATTGACAAAGTTCTAAGTATGATTTCAGATTTGTGTCAAACTGGATAAACTCAACTTGTGTTCCAGTTGTGATGCTATTTTGGTCCTCTGTATCAAATGTTCAGGACAGAAAGCTACATAAATTCCTTCTCAATAATAACCAGTACCCCTGTGGGAAATGTCCTTTTCCTTGATTAGTCATCAGGTTTTCCCTGCAGTCTTGCTACATGGCCTGTGTATACCCTGCCATTAAACAGCCATCAAGCACTTCAACTGGCTCAAGTGTGGATAGGCCCCCATGACACTTGCGCCACCACTAGTAAAATTCCAGCTTAGAAAGGTAGGCATTGATCTCTCAACAGCTCTCCATCCACCATACATATCAGACCGAACACACCACCAAGCCCCAACTACTAGTCAGTCTGCTTTTGAACTGAGGGGTGGGTGAGTGCACTATCAGGGACATTATGCAGGGTTCAAAATTCATCTCATAGTTATAAGATGAATTATCCAAATGTGCCCGGCAACTGTACAGCTGTACATCAGTCCACACCTAGGAGGCAGCTGCAGGCAGTAGAAAAACTGGTAGCAGTAAATTACAAAACAAAAACAAAATCAAAATGTGCGACATCACTATTCTGGCCAACATTGCTCAAAAATCCTTCCCACTTCTCACATTCTCTAGAGGTTCAATGTATCACTTGATCGTTCTACTAAAATATCAGTTAGTGAAAACTAAAACATGCTCACTGTAAATTTGAGAGATAAAACAACACTTAGAGCTTCGAAGTTTTAACATGATTCAAAATGGTAGATTATCACACAGAAAACAAAATCACTCAGAAAGAAATGTCAAGAAGAAAAAATAGTGATCAACTCTTCATGCATGGACCAGCACGTTAATCAGAGAGCAAATGAGAATGTGGAGTTTTGTGTCAAACTTGCATTTCCACATTAATATCTCAAAAGACAAATCAAAATATCAAAACTGTTTTGATCTCACCTGTTTGGGAGCAGAAGTTGGAGGTAATATAAGCTATAGCAAAACAGTCAGTCAATCAGTAATCAATATCAAACAGCACAAATAGTACACTACAGAATGGAGTAGTTGGAAAAATGCATGATTAAACGTGAAACTAGCTAACATATTTGCAAGTTCCACAGACTTCATGATAAAGCTGCTTTTGGGATACTTGTTACATTCCCACCGAGACTGATAACTTTGAAAAAGATATTTGGCTTCCAACATCCAACTGAAAAGATCACATAACTTGAAATTTGCTTCTAGGAATTTTACTCTGACTAATAAAATAAAAGCAACACCAACTAAACCTATTTTTGTAGGCACCATACTCCAAAGAATCTCTATTTAATTTTGCTATCAATCAAAAATATCACACCACAATTATACATTACAGTGTCTTTAAACAGATGCTTTATTCTCCAGGAACCAGTCCAAAATTATTCCATGTTCCCGATGCTTGCTTCTTTTTCCCTTTCCCCACCACGTACTTTCTAATTCCAGAACTAATTTTCATTTTGAGAGTTACTTTATAGATTCCCTCTCTCTAGCCCAAGCTAGGCAAATTGTCAATTTTCCTTTCGATTATCACAATCTCTATCTGTTCAACCCAAGTCATGCAGTGTAGAAACAGACCCTTCAGTCCAACCCATCGATGCCAAGCAAGTTTCCCAAACTAAACTAGCACCAATTGCCTGCGTTTAGCACATATCCCTCTAAACCCTTCCTATTCATGTACCGGTCTAAATGTCTTTTAAACGTTGTAACTGTACCTTCATCTACCACTTCATCTGGCAGTTCATTCTACATACAAACTATCCGCTGTGGAAAAAGTTGCCCCTCATGTCCCTTTTAAATTTTTCTCCTCTCACCTTAAAAATATGCCCCCTACTTTTGAACTCTCCTTCCCTTGAGAAAAGACCTTTGCTATTCACCTTACCTATGCCCCTCATGATTTTATAAACCTCTATAAGGTCACCCCTCAACCTCATATGCTCCAGTGAAAGAAATCCCAGCCTATCCAGCCTCTCCTTATAACCAAAACCCTGCAGTCCTGGCAATAAGCTTGTAAATCTTTTCTGAACCCTCTCCAGTTTAATAATTACCCTCTTATAGTAGAGCAACTAGGTCTGTACTTCAAAAGTGGCCTCACCAATGTCCTGTACAACTGCAACGTGACAATCCAGTTCCTATACTCAATGGCCTGAGCAATGAAGGCAAGTGTGCTAAATGCCTTCTTAACCACCCTGACTACTTATGGTGCAACTTTCAAAGAACTATGTACCTGAACCCCTAGGTCTCTCTCTGTACGACAACAAAAAAACTACCAGGGCCCTGCCTTTAACTGCATAAGTCCGACCCTTGGTTGTCTTAGCAAAATGCAACACCTTGCATTTATTCAAATTAAACTCCATGTATCACTGTAAGGAGTTGGCCCATTGGCCCAATTGATCAAGATCCCTTTGTAATCTTAGATAGCCTTCTTCACGGTCATCTGTACCACCAATTTTGGTGTCATCCACAAACTTACTAAACATGCCTCCTATATTCTCATCCAAATGGTTTACATAAATGACAAACAACAGCAGATCCAGCACTGATCCCTGCGAAATACCACTAGTCACAGCCCTCCTGTCCGAAAAACAACCCCCCACCACTATCCTCTGTCTCCCTCCGTCAAGCCAATTTTACATCCAATTGGCAAGCTCTCCCTGATCTAACTTTACTAATCAGTTTATCATGCAGAATCTTATCAACGGCCTTACTAAAGTCCATGTGGACAACATCTACCGCTCTGCCCCCATCTATCTTTTCGGTCATGCCCTCAAAAAACTCAATCACGTTTGTGAGACATGATTTTCCACACGCAAAGACATGCTGTCTATCTCTGATCAGTCCTTGTCTCTCCAAATGCATGTAAATCCTATCTCTCAGAATCCCCTCCAACAACTTACCCACTGGTTTATAGTTCTCGAGCTTCTCCTTACAGCCTTTCTTAAATAAAGGCACAACATTAGCCACCTCACACATAGCTGTAGATGATACAAGTACCTCTGCTAGGGGCTCTGCAATTTATTCCCTAGGTTCCCACGATATCCTGTGATACAACTGACCAGGGCCCAGAGATTTATCCACCTTTATATTTTTTAAGACCTCCAGCACTTCCTCTTCTGAAATGTGGACTGTTTTCAAGACATTAATATGTATTTCCGAGAGTTTCCCAGGCCTCCATGTCCTTGCTCACAGTAAATACTGGTGCAAAATATTCATTTAGTATCTCTCCCATCTCCTGTGGTTTCACACATAGATGACCTCGTTGATCTTTAAAGGGTCCTATTCTCTCCCTAGTTGTTCTTTTGCTCATGATGTACTTACAGAATCTCTTTGGATTATCCTTAACCTTATCTGCCAAGACTATCTCATATCCCCTTTTGGCCCTCCTGCTTTCTCTATTAAGAATGCTCCTACACTCTTTACACTCTTCAAGGGATTCACGTGATCACAGTTGTCTATACCTAACATATGCCGCCTTCTTATTCTTGACCAGAACCTCAATATTTTTATTCATCCATTGTTCCCTACTCCTACCAGAATGTTCAACTACATTCTGCATGGTGAACAATAGGATTAACATTTCCTCTGCTTTGGTTGCAATATTGGTTTGCACACATACTCATTTCTGTCAGGCTAAGCAGCTTTTTATAAAAACCTGTAACTCAACACAACATGGCTTTCTGTGGACTCTTCCCTCCCAAAGCTCATGTGTGGTAATGTGAATCACATGGGCCTTGTACACATGGGAGAAATGTTCAATAGCTACATCTTCTAGATCCTCAACCCCATTTTATTTAGGAATTAAATAAGACAGTTTAAAGTAAAACTGTTTACAAAACCTGACATTCCTTGTATTTCCCAGCAACACAGATGTACACAAGTGTAAACATCTAGCACTTTCTCAGCGGATGTAGAGAGTTGGGCCCCTCTTGCCCAATAACAACTAAGCTACCCAGGCTTATTATCAGATAGAATTTAAGAGAAGAATTATGCGACTTAGTTGTTCCATTTTGCTTTAAGCTAAGGACACAGAGCCAAAATGAAATCTTCTGTACTAATCACAATCTTCAGTGCTAAATGATAAGTAGAATGAAGGGACTAATGTATGTGCTACATAGAGTACAGAAGTTAGAATTCAAATCTATTGATTGAATAACATTCACTTTTACTTACTTCATTTCTCCCAGTTTCTTGCCAAGTGTACAGCTTACATTATTCAAGGCTGCTGAAGCCTTCTGCCCTGTGGCATTAAGAGTCTCTTGTGTTTTTTTATATCTATGGAGGGAAAGAAACAAAAATAAATTAAGTATGAGAGACTATGTGCTGAGGAGAGGAAAGTGATGACTTCTATCAAATTTTTTTTTTAAAAAAGCTTCAAGTACTATCTAACAACATACGAGAAAGAACATAAAGTCCAGATCATTTATTTCATTTAATTGTGATGGATACGAGTAACAATCTCCAATGCAACCTATGCATCAGTAGCCAATGTAATCTCCACAGAGAAGCAAAAAAAGCTTGAAAATAAAAGACATCAGTTTAGGGAGAAAACAGTTCTGGGAAATACCTCCCCATCCTGTGAAGATAGTCAAAACAGGGTCCAGAACAGAAGTGACCATAAAATATATTGCCCAATATTGTACCTACCACATCATTATGGTGGGCTTTTGTGGTAGTATCTCTACTTTTGAGGCAGGAGATTGAGGTTCAAGTCCTACCTATTCCAGAGTTGTGTAATAACATCTCTGATCAGGGTGATTAGAAACAGTTTTCTAATGCATGGTAGATTGGTTAGCGAGGATAGATCACATGGAGTGCAGGGATAGCTAGCCATCTGGATACCAAATTGGCTCAAATGTAGGAGACAGAGGGTGATGGTGGAGGAATGCTTTTCACATTGGAGGCCTGTGACCAGTGGTTTGCCACAAGGATCAGTGCAGGCTCCACTGCTTTTTGTCATTTACAAAATGCTTTGGATGTGAATATAGAAGATATGGTTAGTAACTTTTCAGATTACACCAAAATTGGTGGTGTAACGGACAATGAAGGAGGTTACCTCAGAGATCCCAATGAGATCTTGATCTTGATGGCAAATGGGCTGAAGAGTGCAGATGGAGTTTAATCTAGATAAATGTTAGGTGCTGCATTTTGGTAAGGCAAATCAGCGTATGTCTTATACATTTAAGGTAAAGTCCTGGGGAATGTTGCCGAATAAAGAGACCTTGGGGTGCAGGTTCATAGTTTCTTGAAAGTCAAGTCGCAGGTCGACAGCGTGGTGAAGGTGGTGTTTAGTTCGCTTGCCTTTATTGGTCAGTACATTGACTATAGGAGTTGGGAGGTTATATTGCAGCTGTACAGGACATCGGTGAGGTCACTTTTGAAATATGTTGTTCAATTCTAGTCTCCCTGTTACAGGAAAGATGTTGGGAAACTTGAAAGCGCTCAGAAAAGATTTACAAGGATATTGCCAGGGTTGGAGGGTTTGAGCTATAGGGAGGGGCTGAATAGGCTGGGATGTTTTTCCTACAGTTTCGGAGGCTGAGGGGTGACCTTATATAGGTTTATAAAATCATGAGGGGCATAGATAGGGTGAATAGACAAGGTCTTTTCCCTAGTGTAGGGGAGTCCAAAACTTGGGAGCATAGGTTTAAAGTGAGAGGAGAAAGATTTATACGGGATCTAAGGGGCAACGTTTTCACGCAGAGGGTGGTGCATGTATGGAATGAGCTGCCAGAGGAAATGATGGACAATTACAACATTTAAAAGGCATTTGAATGGGTACATGAATAGGAAGGGTTTAAAGGGATACAGGCCAAATGCAGGCAAATGGGACTAAATTAATTAAGAATATCTGGTCGGAGCTGGGCCAAAGGGTTTATTTCCGTGCTGTACATCTCTTTGACTCTCTGACACTTGTATACAACAATTTTAGATGCTTCCAAGTCCTCTTCCAGTTTCTTTGGAATGGTTGTAGTGAAACCTAACTCTCTGCATACTGCAAATCCAACAGCGTGGCTACAGTTGTTCACCATTCTAGTTTACCCCTTTTGTTCATTAAGAATTTTTTTTGGTGATTACGTATTACAAGTATGTTATTTAAGAAAACAATTTTATAGTAAATACACAGAAGAAACAATTTAAATATTTTAAAAACAGCAAACAAGTATCCTGAGCATAGCTGGAAGCTAATCATAAATTCATTGAGGGATCAGTTATTAAACTTGATCTCCTGGCCTTCTCCTGGTCACTTCTCCTAAATCTCAACTTTACTGTCATTAATATGCCTTCTCACATGCAGGTATCTCCCCATAGCAACAATGATCTACGCTTGGAGAAAGAAGTCTGTTGTACTGTGTTGTGGATGAACACAAGGTCTGACTGAATATGGCATCAGATCAAGTCTGTACATGCTAATTTGCTGTTTTGAATAAAAATTAATAGGTACAACTACCCATCAAAGTATGAGGATACTGAAAAATGTTAAAAAAGTTATAAATAGGGCTGATAAACCAAAATGTTCAGAAGTAAAACAAATTCAAACCAAAATTTGGTATTTAATTTTATCATTGTTGTGTTCAGGGATTTTCAGCATTTGACCTTTGAAGAGGACCTTGGTATAATTGATACAAAAATGCGTTTTTAAGTTAAAGCTTTCTTTCAAGGAGTAGATTCACAGGATAGCCACATGCTGAAGATACAGATCAGAAATCAGAGTAAATATCTCTGCAAATATCCCAGAAAAAAAATTACATTCTACAGTTGAGAACGTCTCATCTTTCTATGCCTACGACAGTCTACTGGAAGAGGTCTGAATTAATGATGTGGTCAGTCATGTGACATGCAACTTCATCCACCAACTAGGAGGGAATGGCACATCTTTTCCTCATCAAGAGATAGTCTACAGAATAATGTGAAGTGACAACTGTTAGAACAGCGACTTCTTTGTTCAGTTACAGACAAAAATAAAGTAGCCTAACAAGTTTCACATAAACACATCTCACCAAAATATTAACTAACTGCTTTCCTGAAGATTGAAGAAGAGTATAAAAGTTCACAATGCCCAATTTAAAGGACAAAGGGAACTCATAGCCATAAGATCCAGGTTACACTTTTGTTGTATTAAAATATATTTGACAAACTCATGAACACAAAAGATGCTTATGGAAGTGGCTAGAGCCCTTGAATCTGAAAGAATATCAAACATGTATCCAAAGTACGTATCAATCTTGGATGAGCTTACAATACCTGAGAATAAACAGAGAAAAAAAAAATCTACCAAATTCCTGTCTTACTACTTTGCAATACAAATTTTGTCTACCCATCTACAGTTCCACCAGTCAGCAGGTAAAATGCTGGCATCATCTAACATTGAGGAAAACTGCCCATTTATAACCTGTCTAGATAAAGCAAAACACATCCAAACTGGCCAGTTAGTGCTCTATCAATTTACTCCAAATCATCAGCAAAGTGGTGGGAGCTGTCAATGACAGCAATTATATGCCAATTACTCGCTCACTGATACTCATTAAATCAGGTGGAAAACGCTCTACTATTTGGAGTCATACCCAGAAACTTGGTTGTGATTGTTGGAGACAAATCTTAAGTCTAAGGTCATCAATGCAGGAGTTCCTCAGAGTATTAGGCCAAAACATCATCAGCTGCCTCATCACTATACCTCCATTATAAAATCAAATGGATGATGTTTACTGATTATTGTAGAGTGTTAAATACCATTGACAACTCCTTAAATGTTGGAATAAAACCAGGAAGTGCTGGAGAAACTCGGCAGGTCTGGCAACAGTAGTAGACCGAGAAGCAAACAGAGTTAACATTTTGAGTCAAATGACTTCTTTAGTTCCTCTTTCCACAGAACTGTCAGACTTGCTGAGTTCTTGACACTGTTTTTATTTCAGATCTTCAGCACCTGCAATATTTTGCTTCTATTTCCTTAAATATTGGAGAAGTCTATGCCCAAATGTAGCGAGACCTGGACAACATTCAAGCTTGGGTTGATAAGTGTCAGATAACACAAGTGCCAGGCAATGACTGTCTCCAAGAAAAGAGAAGCTAACTATCTTCACTTGAAATGTAACACCATTACAATCACTTACCCCTCCATCAATATCCTGGTTGTTATCACTGACCAGGAACATAACTAGAGTAGCTAAATAAATACTGTGGCTACAAGAGCAGGGCAGAGATTCCAATTTGGCAGCAAGAAATTCTGGTCCTGATTGCCAAAGCTCTCACACTATCTACAAGACAAGTCAGGAATATAATAGAATATTGTCCACTTACTTGGATTGGTGAAGGTCCAACAACATTCAATTATTTCAACACTGTACATGACAAAGCAGCCTGCTTGACCAGCCCATCCACCACCTATCCATCTGATCCACCATTTTTTAAGCATTTCACTCTGTCACCAGTGCATAGCGGCAATAATGTACTATATATGAGATGCACCACAACAACTCAAAGCTGTTTCACACACCTTGCAAACACGTGACCTTTACCACCTAGAAGATCAGGTACAGTAAATGCATGCAAACACCACCAACTTCAAGGTCCCCTCCAAGTCACACAACATCCTGACTTGGAACTATGTTGCCATTCCTTCATTTTGAAGTAAATTTTTCTTTAAAAATGAGTATAATAATTGCAAATGTAATCTAACATTGAGATGCAAGCAATACATAAGAATTAAACAACGATGAACATTGTCAGTTCACTCAGCACCTACTGCCACTCAGCTGTGGCATGGCAACAGTATAATCAGCTCTCAATTCATATCCAAATAGTAACATTTCTTCAGCACAAAATGCAATCAATGCAAAGTTGTGATTACTTTCAAAAACAAAAACAAACACTGGTTTTACATCAATGCTTCCATCTCATCAATCATTTCACAAACGTTCTAGCTGTAACTTCCCAACGCTTTTTTTAAATTTAAGTTTTGAAATTGACGTTCAGCATAATACATGCATTATCAACCTATCTTATTTCATAGTCTATATCCCAAGAAGGGAAAAACTGCTACAGTGCTACTTTTGTGCCTAGCTGCTGATTTGAGGAAGTTCCAACCCTTACCACTCAAATGCTTACTTTGAAGGAAACATTGAGGTGAAATTAGATCCTTTCAATGGCACAAGAAAGTAAAATAGGTAAAACTAAATTGCAGCATGTGGCATTTATTTTATTTGGCTTAAAAAGACTCCAAAAAGACAGATAATTTGCAAAGATTGCAATTTTTCCCAATCTACTCACATTAAGGAAAATGAAGCAGACAGGTAAGTCGAAGTTTGTATGACCTGTATTTATCTGCCATTAGCTTTCTCATCTTCTTCAAATAGGTGAAAAATACATTTCTTGTGAAATACTCACTCAACACACTTTCATGTTTTAAATAAACTACTTGTTAATAGATAGCTTTCCCCTAAATTTATTAATATGGAGATTCCAATTCTAGTACAAATCTTTCTGGATGCAGACAACTTACAGGTACTTTGACCAAGTTTGAGAATACACAATGATGATGGAGAGCATTCAAATGCGGCTCAGTCCAACTCAATCCTTGCTGATGATGTCAACGAGTGCAGTTTTCTCTTTTTGATCTGGACAATTCAGGATCAAATGCAGCAAATTTACACCACTAATATAACTGGAGAAATGTTCATTTTAACTATTTAATGGAAGCATCTATTAAAAATTAAAAGTTACCCAGCATCTAAAAATACAATTTGTATCAAGCAAATAAATATTTAGATGAATCACTGCAAGGCATTCCTTCATATAGCAACAGGAATACAGTACACTAAGTTCAAACAAGTTGCGGCAAACTCCTTCACTCAAAAACTTACATCACAGAAGTCTGCATGTCATGCCAGCTTTTGCTTAAGTTGTGTTTTATTTCATTCAGTGGGGTAATGCCCATCTTCTGCTTTATTTCCACTAGATGTTTCTCCTTGGCACTTAGAACTTGTCTCAAGGTAGAGATTTCATCTTCTAGCTGACATTTAAAGAAAACATTTAATTCTTCATGCACAACTTTAAAATAGAAATTTCAGTAGGTTATACTACAATCAAAGTCAGAACTACCTTCTAGCCTACTGAACATCTTGCTGAGGTAAACCACTGCATAAATTACAGCAGCACTGAGTGCACTTACTTTGCAAATCGTTAAGTCCTGACCTCTCAAAAATAACTGCTGAGCGTAGACAAAACGTGAGTCACAGTTCTTACTTTTTTTAAAAAGGACATTCTCTTAAGTCTACTTTTTTTCTCTAGAATTCTTGACAAGCTATGCAATTGCTGTCATTGAAAAGGCAACCTGTTCCCATACTTTTCATCAGCAGGCCACTACTCCCAAACTTAACTGGAGGAAATTCGTGCCCCAAGTTCTGGATGCCAGATAAGCAATCTGATAATTCAGCAACAGTAGAAAAGTTGAAATAAGTGCCAGGAAGCTGCAACTGAATGTTGTCAACACATGAGAAAGGTAATGCTGTGTTTATGGTTAATGTAGCATGTAGAGACTTGGGGGACATCAGAGATAATGGTGCAGAAGCAGGAAGGCAAGCCATAATTGCAGGGATACACTGTCTATAATAGATAAGAGTACAAGTGCAGTCCTGTCCAACATGACAACAATGAAGAGGCACTAGAGGAGAATTTTGTGGTCAATAATGTCAAAGGCAGTGGATAAATCAAAAAGGATAAGCAGCGAGAGTTTAGCAAGAACGCCTGCATCTCGACAAAAGTTTTTTAAAAATTTTCATCTTTATATTGGAAATGTTGCATTTACAATCCAATATTTGTTGTTTGAGCATCTTATAATGAGTTTTATTCAGAGTTCGCTGGTGACTTGCTCCTGTAATAATGCTAGAGAGTACTAGGATGCTGACACACCAATATTGAAGGAACAGTCATAAATGTCCAATTCAACTTTCAGCATGACTTGAGAGGAGTTCATTTCTGGAGGGACAGGGAAAGATTTGAAGGGGGAACATTTCCTTATAGATAGAAGCAATAGGAGATGAATAGCAGATAGTCCACACCAACTATGTTCCCAAACTAAACTAGTCCCACTTGCCTGCACTTGGCCCATATCCCTCCACACCTTTCTTATTCATGAACTTATCCAAATGTCTTTGAAACGCTATTACTGCACCAGTTCATTCCACATATGAACCACACACTGTGTAAAAAAAAAAAAAAGTTGCCCCTCGTGTCCCTTTTAAATCTTTCTCCTTCACCTTAAAAGTATGCCCCCTAGTTTTAAACTCCCCTACCCATGGGAAAAGACACTTGTCATTCACCTTATCTATGCTCCTCATGATTTTATGAACTGCAATAAGGTCATCCCTCAACTTCTAGGCTCCAGTGAAAAACATCCCAGTCTTTCCAGTCTATTTTTATATCTCAAACCCTCTATTCCTGCCAACAGCATGGTAAATCTTTTCTGAACTGTCTCCAGTTTAATAATATCCTCCCTATAACACGGCAACCAGAACTGACACAGTACTCCAGAAAAGGCCTCAACATGACGTCCCAACCCCTGTACTCAAAGGTCAGAGCAATGAAGGCAAGCATGCTAAACACTTTTCAACCATCCTGTCTACCTGTGACTCAAGTTTCAAAGAATTATGTACCTGAACCCCTAAGTCTTTCCGTTCCACAACACTACCCAGGGCCCTACCATTAATTGTATAAGTCCTGTCCTAGTTACTGGGCTATGTTCACATATTCTGCAGTCATACTGTGCCATGCAAGTGGAATGCACTTCAGATCTAAAGACAGAAGAATCGAGCAAATTCCCCCGTTCTGGTGAATGGCAAGCTTCTCTACTATTGCTGCAATTATTCAGATAACTGGCAAGCATTTCATCGACACTACTAAAATGCAGACATGCTGGAGGGTTTTGAGATATCAACGTGGTGAACCAGAGTTCCCAGCACACAAGCATGATTGACTCTGTTAAGCTTCTGGTCAATGATTGTGTGAGGGTGACAAAAACTTTGGGTCACCACAAGATGACTTTGCTTTTTGCTTTTGCGATGTCATTATCAGCAGTTATGTGATGCAAACGTTATCTGTCACTTGGACCAAGCTGGAATATTATCTACGTCCTACTGTCAGCTGACATGGGGGCCTTCATGATCAAAAGGACTGTGAATGGAGCAGTACACTGTGCAGCTATCTGCAAGAAGATCCCTCTCCTGACATCATAAAAACAATCTTCCCAGCAAAAATGAATTAACTATGCAGAAACCAGGAACCAAACCCAAAACACTGCAGATCCCCGTGGCTCAACTAATCTCTGGACAAACTCAAAAATCATTGGGAAAAGCTTGGAAATTTGGGTATTAAGTCAATTTTGTGTTAAAGTGAGTTATTTTCAATTGAATTCAAGGCAATAAATTTCATACTTTTGTGCAGTTTTGTGGAATTCATTAAAGCTGAATTTATAACTATAGTTTTCTCAGCAAAAAAAGTATAATCTCTGATTACCTTTGCCAATTCTACACCAAGATCTTCTTTTTCCTCTTCAGGGAGCATTCCGAGGTCAATATCAGAACCCAGATCAGCAAAACATCTGGCTTCAAAAAGGGCTGTTAAAACATAAAAATATTGTTGTTTCTGTTTTCCAAGGTTAGAATTTGAATTACATAATCATACTTGAGCTGCTGAATCTTTCAGTACCAGCATCGAGAGTTATCAAATGTTAACTGCCATTTAACATTTCTGCTGTAGATTGGTATGAGCTGCTTTATTACTAGAAAAGTTGGAAACTGAGCTAAAGACTGAAATCATCATTCCTGATCTGTAGGTGCATGAAAGATTGTCAAATTATCAAGCAAATATCTTGTGCTCACATTTAAGCATTTATCATTACATTTTCAATAACTATAAGTTTTAAAAAACTAAGTCAATATATTTTACACTTAGACACATACGATTCCCAGGTATTGACCCCAGGGTTTAGATCGCTGGGCCATTATGCATGAGGAAATTTTTACAACTTATTTTTTAGGTAGGAGTGGTGTTTCTGGCAGTCTCGGTTTAAATACAAACAGGGAAAAGGCACGAGATTAGCACCAAGGATAAATTGTGAAACAGCTGGTGCAAATGACCTCTTTCTGCACCATAACACACATCCTACTGCACTTTTCATTGAATAAGCACCGATCCCTTGGCTTGATGCTAATTGCAGAGTATGCCATGCTATGACATGAGATTGCAGATAGTGTTTGAGTACAATTGTGCTTGCTGATGGTCCACAGTGCCTCAAAGATGCTGAGTCTTGACTTGCTAGATCTGCTTAAAGTCTATCCCACTGAGCATGGTGATAGTGCAACATACTCAATGGAGGCTATCATCACCAAAGAAAGAACTTTGCTCCACAAGGACTGTGCAGTGGTCCCTCTTATTGATGTTCCATCCCTCCTCCTAATCCCACTTCTACCATATATTCACTTTACACCTTGACTTTTCATGTGTGCTCAGCAAAGGACTTTTACACCTCCTTTATACCTCCACCTCAATGAATTTCAGGCACATGATGTCAAAGTCTTCTTCCATTGACTTTGGCTCCATGCCCACTTCTTTGGATAGGGGTCTTCTCTCTATTCCACATTATACTAGCCACCTTCATTTCTCTGCTCCCTTCACCCACTCTAATCTCTCTTCCCCTGAACTGCCTGTACTCCATTCTCTCAGGGTCTAACCCTGACTGTGTTATCAAATCTGCCAATGAGTATGGTGCTGTTATCATCTAGCTTCATGACCTCTAACTTAGAGGCTGACCATCAGCTCTTGGACACTTCATCCCATCTCCTCTGCATTGTGACCCGACCGTCGAACATCAAGCTGTTGTTTCCAGGACCGACGCTGACCTCATTGCCTTTGGACATCTCCCCACCTCATAATCCCCCAAGCCCTGCACAGCCCTTTTCTACCTTCATCCCAAAATTCACAAACAGCACTGGCTCTGGCAGACCCATTCTTTTCAGCATGTCCCTGCCCCACTGAACGCATTTCTTCTCATCTTGATTCTACTTTATCTCGCGTTACTCAGTCTCTTCCTGCTTACATTCATGATTTTTCTGATGCTTTACTTCAGTTCCATCATTTACAATTTCTGGCCTCAGCCACCCCCTCTTCACCACGAATGTGCAATCCCTCTACATGTCCACCCCCTACTAGGACATGATGAACTTTCTCCATTTCTTCCTTTAAATGAGAGCTGAACAGTCCAATCAACCACCACCCTCCTTCACCTGGCTGAGCTTATTCTCATTTTGAACAACTTCTTCAACTCATTCCCACTTTCTCCAAGTCAAAAGCATGGCTATGAGTATCCACTTGGGTCCCAGGTGTGCCTGTGCCTTTTGTGGAGTGTGTGGAACACTCCTTGTTCCAGTCCTAATCAGGCCCCAACACACAATTCACTCTCCAATACACTGATGATGTCATCATGATGTTTCCTGTTTTTATGCAGAATTCGATGAATTCATCAGTTTTACTTTAATTTGCATCCTTCACTTACCTGGTTCATCACCGATTCTTCCTTTCTTTGACTTCATTACTTCCATTCCTGGTGACAGGCTATCCAGTAATATTCACTACAAACCCACCAACTCTCAGTTATCTTGACTATAAATGCTCAAAACCTGCTCCTGCAAGGACTCCATTCCATTCTCCCAAATTCTCCATTGCATCTGTTCTGATGATGACACCTTCCACTGGGGTGCCTACAACATCTTCTCCTTTTACCTAACCAATGATTATCCCACACCACGGGTGACAGAGCTCTCAGCCATGTCTCACCCATTTCCTGTACTTCCGTCCCCATACATTCCCCTCCTTTCCAGAACAAGGACAACGTTCTCCTTGTCCTCACTTCCAATCCCACCAGTCTCCATGTTCAAGTGATCATCTTCTTCCATTTCTGACACCAAACACATCTTTCCTTCCCCTCATCTGTCAATATTCTACAGAGACTTCTCTCTGTGACACTCTGCTACACTCTTTCATCATTCCTTACACTTCTTCATCCCCCCAAGACACCATGCCATGCAATTGCAGAAGGTGCAACACTTGCCCTTTTACCTTCTCCTTCCTCACTGTATGAGGTCCCAAACACACCATTCTGCTGAAGCAGTGGTTTACTTGTACTTCTTTCAGTCTACTCTACTGCATTTGATGCTCACAAAGTAGTCACTTTTAGACCGTTACACTGGTGAGACCAAATGCAGCCCCAGTGACTGTTTGTGGAACACCTCTGCTCTGTCTGTAGGATGATCCCTATCTTCCAAGTGCTTGCCATTTCAATAAACCATTTTGTTTTCATGCTAACGTCTCTGTCCTTGGTCCGTTGCAGTGCTCCAATGAAGCTACAGGAACACCACCTTACTTTCCACTTAGACACTTTACAAGCTTCAGAACCCTCTAACAATCCACCATCCAGTCACCCCCCACCACATCTTATTTGTCTCTTTTTGCTATTAGCAAAGCCCATTTATATTTTTCTAATCAAATTTATTATTCATACCTATCTTACGTCTCAATTTCTCCATCATTATTAATATTACCTTTCTCTTTGCTTAGGGCACCTTCACCATTTGTTCCATCTGCTTCTCCTCCCACTTTGTCAATAACATAATCCACTACAGTGTGGTGAAAAAGTGTGTCTGGACTTGAAGCGTTAAATCTCTTTTGCTGTCCACAAATGCAGCCAAAGCTGCAGCTTTTCCCGTATTTTCTGTTTTTATTTCAGATATCCAGCATCGGTAATATTTTGCTTTTATTATGTTGGTAAGAATGACTTTGACAAGGCTGAGATCCATCCTGTCTAATTGGATTTTTGATGCTTTTAACATGCTTAGAGTCATAGAGATATACAGCACAGAAACAGACCCTTTGGTCCAACTTGTCAATGCTGACCAGATATCCTATTTGCCAGCATTTGGCCCATACCCCTGTAAACCCTTCCTATTCATATACCCATCCAGATGCCCTTTAAATGTTGTAATCACACCCACCTCCACCACTTCCTCTGGCAGTTCATTCCGTACAAGCACCACCCTCTGCGTGAAAAAGTTGCCCCTTAGGTGCCTTTTATATATTTTCCCTCTCGCCTTAAACCTATGACCTCTAGTTTTGGACTCCGCACTCTGGGGAAGAGACCTTGCCTATTTACCCTTTCCATGCCCCTCATGACTTTATAAGTATCTATAAGGTCACCCCTCAGCCTCTGACTCTCCAGGGAAAATAGTCCCAGCCTATTCAGCCTCTCCCTACAGACAAACCTGCCAACCCTTGCAACGTCCTCATGAATCTTTTCTGAATCTTTTCTAGTTTCACAACATTTTTCCTATAGCAGGGAGACCAGAATTGCACACAGCACTCCAAAAGTGGCCCAACCAATGTCCTGTACAGCCACGTAATGACCTCCCAACTCCTATACTCAACGCACTGACTAATAAAGGTAAGCATATCAAATGCCTTCTTCACTACCCTGCCTACCTGCAACTCCACTTTCAAGTACTATTGAACCTGCACTCTAAGGTCTCTTTGTTCGGCAACACTCCCCAGGACCTTACCATTAAGTGTATAAGTCCTGCCCTGATTTGCCTTTCCAAAATTCAGTACCTCAAATTTAAATTAAACTCCATTTGCCACTCTTTGCCCCATTGGCCTAATTGATCAAGGTCCCATTGTACTTTGAGGTAACCTTCTTGACTGTCCAGCACACCACCCATTTTGGTGTCATCTGCAAACTTACTAACCACACGTCCTATGTTTGCATCCCAATCATTTATATAAATGACAAAACGCAGTGGGCCCAGCACCCATCCTTGTGGCACACCACTGGTCACAGTCTTCCAGTCTGAAAAGCAACCCTCCATCACCACCCTCTATCTTCTACCTTTGCCCCAATTCTGTATCCAAATAGCTAATTCTCCCTGTATTCCGTGTGATCTAACCTTGCTAACCAGTCTACCATGGGGAACCTTGTCGAACGCTTCACTTAAGTCCGTATAGATCACATCTACCACTCTGCCTTCATCAATCCTCTTCGTTACATCTTCAAAAAACTCAATCAAGTTCGTGAGATACGATTTCCCATGCACAAAGCCGTTGACTATCCCTAATCAATCATTGCCTTTCCAAATACATGTAAATCCTGTCCCTCAGGATTTCCTCCAACAATTTGCCCACCACCAAAATCAGGCTCACCAGTCTATGGTTCCCTAGCTTTTTCTTACCACCTTTCTTAAATAGAGGCACAATGTTAGGCAATCTCCAGTCTTCTGGCATCTCACCTGTGGCTATCGATGATACAAACATCTCAGCAAGGGGCCCAACAATTTCTTCCCATGCTTGATAGAACTGAGCTTACATTTTATAGAGTCAACAACATTTGTCAGGGTCTGGACTTGCATGAAAGCCAGACCAAGAAAGGAAAGCAGTTTTCCTTCCCTTAAGGAATTCCCTGGTGAATCAGATGGGTGTTTTTTTTAAAATAACAATTGACAATGGTTTCACAGTCATCATTAGAATTTTAATTCCAAGTCTTTTTTTGAATTCAAATTTCACCATGTGCTCCGGTAGGAATCGAACCTGGGTCCACAGAATACTATTTTTGGGTTTCTGGATTATTAGTCCAACAACAAAGCCACAACACTATTGCCTCCCCCAACTAGTAACATAATTCCAAAATTAGAACTCAGCAACTGAATCACCTCTATCATAAGGCTGTAGATGAACATTCCACTGAACAAAAAAAACATACTTCAGCCAGAAGCTTCTTGTGCATTTTTACAAGATGTCTCCATGTGTTTGAGATACAGGAAAGCAAATATTTAGTATTTACTGAGCTGTTCTGTAACTGGAACCTGAGAGAGAACCGAGACAGAAAGAGTAAAGAAAAGCAGAAATGAATACAAACATTATAAAGATAAAATAACCTGTTTAAAAATTGAGAAACAAATTCAAGACAGTCTCAGAAAGTATAAAACCAAATTCTTCACTTCTAATTGTTGTATTTAGGCCAGTGAATACACTCGTTTTGAAACACAGACAACCAGGAACCAACTGATTTTTCACCTGACCCTTCCATTAGGTAGGTGTAAACAACTACGTTACAATTTAAACAAGAAGTGATTTACAGTCATACTTGGTTACAGTAGCAGCTGCTTACATGACACAGCTGCTTACATTTTACTTCTTTTGAGGTCGGATTTAAGGTAGATAACTACAGTACAAAAATAGTTTTACCTTGAGTCTGATCTGAACTACCCTGATTCCCCCAACCATTTTAGGGCACGCTTAGTTCTAACATTGGAAAGTTGTGAAAGTGTTCTAGTGCTCAACGCTTTTATTTCTGAAAAATATAATTTACTTTTGGCACAGTTTCAAACTGAAAACCGCACTGGAAAGAACTCACATTGCATACATCCAAGGTATCTTAATTAGTGAGTCCTAAGAAACTGGAGAGAAGTAAGCCTCAAGACTGACAAAACTCACAACTTTTCAACTGCATTCATTTGTAATTTTTCTTGCAAAACAGTGATTAGTTTCAAAAGTAATTAATCAATTGCACAACATTTCGGCAAGTCATAAGACCATGAAAGGTACTATGTAAATACACATTTCTTCTTCTGAACATCATATTAACTATTTCCTTTCCAAATCCCTTTGGAGATGAGGTGCTCACTTTACATTTAAATTAAACCGTTTAAACCCTTTGTGCTGGTGCATTTGGTGCAACTTTTCAAGATTCTCCCGACTATTCTGCATGGTGATTAAACAAAAATCACAGTTCATTCAGAATCCTGAAGCAAAACGAAAATAGAAGTTGCTGGAGAAACTGAGCAGGTCTGGCAGCAGCTAAACAGAGAAAAACAGATTCCAAACGGATGCTGTCAGACCCATTGAGTTTCACCAGCAATTTCTACTTTTCGTGTGTTCCAAAGTCTCCAGCGTCCACTGGTGTTTTATTTTGAGTTAATTCAGTTTCCCCTCTGTCCAAATCATGGGAACAGGGAAACGGATCCACAAGGCTGCAGCTCCAAGGCAACCGCATCCCCTCGTATTCAGCCTAACGTAACGCTGCCGATCGTATCTAATCGGAAATTAAATTTTCCCAAGTCAAACATTCAATGCCAAATTAGAAAAACACGTCAGATTTAAACTGGATAGCGACTCCAGCTTCAATGACATTTAAAGACATCGACAAAACATTCCTGCTGCACCGGAAGGTTTTGGGAAAATAAAAAAAACAGTTGGAAAATTTAACGACATTATTTTTGGGAAATTTCGCTTTCTCCTCTCCCCTGAGTATACTGTGGAGATGGAGGCGGGCCCTTACCTCTCTCATTGAGCTCCATTAAACTCGCTGTCAATCCCGGATCCGTTGGGAACCGAACTCTTGGTTCACACCTGCGCTCCGCTCCACCTTCAGGATACAGGACGCTCACTCTCATCCGATACTGCAGCGACCCCGCTGGCTGGAGGACTCACACGCT